CCCCCCCCCGAGCATTTAAGATGTACATAGGGTTATTTTATCACAGTATTTTATTTATGCATATAAGGTTGATAAGAATTATATCTGTAACAAACTGTTTTGTTTTAGTTTTACTTTTTTGGCAACAGTGAAGTAAAAGTATGCTTTTCTTTCTATTTAAGCAAACGTCCTCAGAAAAAAATGTGGGTAAAATAAAAATCTTTTCTATGATAAGGTGACATAAAATAACATAGATGTATATCCAAGCACAACACTCAGATCCATTAATAACAAAGTCTGTGGTGAAATGTGTTATAAAACGTCCCCAAATCACTTTTAAGATAAGGTAAAAGTTGCATTCCTATGCTGAGCTCGGGTTTTTGTGTTCACGTAAACAAAACTGTCGCCATGATTACACAATCACATACATTCAGTGCACCACAATGGCAGGAGATGAAAGTCAGAAATGTTTATACACAAATGAGATTATTTCATCCCTATTTTTGAACAGACCTGCTGCAAGGCCAGAATGTTGCTTTTGTCCAAGTCCAGCTGTGCTGAACGCAGCTTTTCCCTCAAGTCACGAATCATCTGCTGGTACACCAAAATTTCATCGTCCTTCCCAGACAGCACTAGCTATCAGGAACAACAAAAGTAAACTCATGTTAGTCCTGTAGAATAGTTTAACAAAACTCAGTGATGAACTCAGTGACTGAAATTTGCAGGTGCCCACATGGACAATGCCTTCAAGAAGAAGGTTCAATGGTGCGAGAAGAGAAAGACTGAGCAATCTGGCCACATTGACAAGCAGTGTTCTTGGAAAAGTAAAGGTGAGACTTTGAAACCTGAGAACACTGTACCCGCTGTAAGAACCAGATAAAACAGATGAAAGATTCATAGCTAAAGTATTTATTCACAATCACAATTTCAAAAAGGCTAGGATGCTGTTCAAACTTTAAATGAAAACAGAATCTGCAAAGCTCACATACCCATACTGTATCTCATTCACCAGAAAACATATCAAATGTTTAAAGTTAGACATTTTAGTATTTCTCGAAAAATAGAAACTCACTTTGAATTCAATTGCAGCACACATGTTTAAAAAGGTGGGATGAGTGCAACAAAAAACTTGAAATGGTACCAAAAAGATACATCTGGAGGGACATTTTGCAGCTAACTAGGTTAACTGGCCACAGGTCAGTGAGACACCAGACTATTATAAGAGCATCTTATAGAGGCAAAGTTTCTCAGAAATAAAGATGGGCAAGATCTTCACCAGTCTGTCTAAAAAATTGTGGAAGTCAGAAAAATGTTTAAATACTTTAAATATCTACAGCACATACCATCATCAAAAGATTCAGAAAATTTGGAGAAATCCAGAAGAGACGGCTGAATACCAGTACTGGGTGCCTCTGATCTTCAGCCCCACAGACAGCACCGCATTAAAAAAAATATAGAGCAACACAGGGCTTGCACATTTCAGCAAGACAATGCTAAGCCCCATACTTCATCTGTTATAACTTTGAAGTTGAAGACTCCAAAGAGTGAACGATTTTTTACCAGCCAAAAACATTTGGCTCATTATGAAATGAGAAAATAAACTGCTGTTAACTGTGAAACAGCTAGAATCCTCTATCAGAGAAAAATGAGACAGTATTACTTTCCCAGAGTCCAGGAACTGGTCTTCTCAATTATCAGATGTTTATGAAAATGACTGTTACACAGTGGTAAATATAGGCCTGTCTAATATTTTGCAACATGTTCAAAATTGCCTTATTTCCGAGTGTTACATTTTCTCAGTTTAACCATTTGATATGTTTTCTGTGTTCTACTGTGAGTAAAACATTGATCAATGAGATTTGTAAGTCTTTTCTACAATTTGGGTTGTAGTTTTAAACTATGTGAAGAGGCAGTGAAGAGACTAGTCCCATATGTAGGGATACCCATAGGTAAATGTTGTATTAATCAATATTAGTATTAATGTTCAGTGATCCTTTGTTTTAAGCGGAGAAGTGAAGATTAACAGAGGCACCAGAAGCCCCTTGGTGTAAGGGTTAAGGTTGCAGGTTTTTCCTTGAATGCACCTGCTTAAAGGAAATAAACTAAACAAATAAAACTTGCCCTTTGGAGAGTAAGTTTAAATGCTTACCTTCCACTCCTCCACTTTGGCATTGACAGCTGCCATAATAGGGTCGTTCTCTTCAGTCATGCTATGAATCTTATCTGTTAACTCTCTGACCTGCACATAAAAAGTGGAGCCATGATTCTGTACCTTGCACGCAAACATTATTTTATCAGCTTAAAAAATTGCAGAGTGTGACATAATAAATGGATTCAGGTAACTTATCTCCATTAAAAAACAGTATGTGAACCCATATGGAAAAGAAATAGTAAAAACATATATGATTTACTCATGAAAGTGGCCACTTTCTCATTACTTTCATATATTTTTTTAGTAAGTATACAAAACATACAAGTTTCATTATATAATGTTTCAATGGATCTTATATGTGTTTCATACAAGACAGATACAAACTTTATAAGATTTATATATATCTTTTCCATATGGGAAGAGAAGGATCTTACTTGAAGCTTTGTATGATCTCGCTCCTTCCTAAGCTGGTCCATAATGGAGTCAGTCTGCTGCACCACAATCTTCAACTTATTGTACTCATCCGTCATCTTCTCCATCTCCTTCACAGATTCCTCCAGGCTTCTCTGCATCTGCATATTCTCAGTCTTCAGATGTGTGTTTTCATCTTCTGCTCGCTAATAAACACAATATAATTCAATAAACATAATTTTAGGGGGCGTAGTCTAAGACACATCAATCAGCAGTACAAAGAGTATGTAATAAAAAAAAATGAAAGCCATAAATATATGCAGTAAAGGTCTTAATTAACAATTACAAACAGCACTAATCTTGCATGTATGAGGCAGCGTAAGATGGCCTTGGGCATCCGATACATGGCACCATTGCCAAGCTTGGCACAAAATAGTCTGTTGCCTAGTTGACCAGATTTTATAGTAAACAAACAGATTTTCAGTACCTGCAGGTCTTCTAAACATTGGTAAAGCTGGCGGTTGGCAAGGTTGAGCTTCCTCTGAGTCTCAGCATTCTCATCTTTTGAAGACATAGGCTCTTTCTGGTCCAGCTCTCCGCGATAAAAGTCCACATCCTGCTGGAGCTGCTCATTCTGATGTGATGCGGCAACACAGATGTCAGTTCAGAAAATGAACCAAAAAAAATTTCCTCTGCTCACTCACAAATATGGAAACACTAAATTGACTTTCGAAGCCCCTGAAATACAAGCCTGTCCTGCTTTTCAGTATACTTTGAACAGCGATGGATTTTACTATGATAGTTCATAAGAAAACACACAGTCTAGAAGGTGTCACCTTATGCTATATTAAATATAAAATGTGTTATAATTTATAATCTATCAGGTTAGTCAAGTTCACTTTGTGCACAAAAATCAAAACTTAAACCCTTTAAAAAACCCTAAATTCTGCTAAAATTCCATTATGTTAAGGATCTCATATTGCATATGATATACTTCTTATCATCATCCTATTCACTTTTTGTATGTACATTTATAAAAAGCTGTGATGCAAAAAAGCCTCATGTACACCTTTATATTGCTACAAAACCTACAAACTATTCCTCATTTTACTTAACTACACTACCTTTGTTTCTTACCTTCCTCTTAAGCTTTTCTAACTACACCACGGAACAGATGGAGACAGAAAAAAAGACTAGATTAAAAGGAGATAATGAGTAAAAAATGAAGGTAAAGCATGAATACACAAAAGTTTTAAATGAAGTGCGAATGGATCATAACTAAACAAGGGATGAAATTAAATGACGAGTGTAATGTCAACTATCAAATACCTCTCTTTTCAGCTTCTTGATGACTTCCTCAGCCTTCTCTACTTGCACAACCAACTAGAAAGACAAAACCAACTTTACAATGTAGAAACATCGAAAGCGTTCTGTTGTTGCCTTGTAACCATCAGAAAACGATAGAAAGGTGGAAGCAAACAATGTCAAACAAGATTAGCAAAGCAACAGATGAGTCAAACCATTTGTATCGTATTCTTGTATTGGTTGTTTTTGTATATAAATTTGTCCATACATAAATATTTTCAGTTTAACGTAACATTCAATCTTTTCACCAGCATTTTTTTTTTTTTTACCAGCGCTTTGTCAACATAACATGTGCAAACTAATAAGCTAACATTTGCAAGTCTACCTACGGCAAGTAAAGTGCTCATACCTCCTCATTGGTTTTCTTTTCCTTCCCCATTTCTTTCTTTAACTGGGTCACCTCATTCTCCCTTTGCTCCAACTGGGTCTCAAGGTGCCAAATCTGATCTCTAATAAAGCCGGTGTTCTGCACAGTGCTGTGGAGCTGAGTAGTATAAACAGGAGACAAGATGCACACCCAAACAACCCCCACAAAGAAATCTCTTAGTGTCTTATTACCTCCATCTGTTCATATGTGTTCATTTCCATGACCAAGTTGTTAAACAACATTCTGTTCACGTTTTAAGGCATAAAAACAACCAGAATATAAGTAGTGACAATCCACAACCCTGGGAAAATTGAAAATGGTTAACAATTCAAAACGATAAGCAATTTCTGTGAGTGCGCAAGGAATTAGCTGTAATCTTCTTAGGGGTCACTACAGCAAATCCCTTCATAAGGAGGGTTGCGTTCAATGATTGGCTGAAAGAGTTGGCACTGCTGAAAGGAAGTAAATAAGCATAGAAAGTGATATCAAACAACATAAACATTCATAATGATGGTTGAGTTCAACCATGTGAAGAAATAACAGTTCAGCAGATCAACAAAAATGCCCAATATATAATGTGTAAGCAATAACATATACAGTTTTTAAATATATATATATATAAACTAGATTTGTTTTACCTTCTGTTCTTGTTCCAACTGTGACACTTTAGCCAAGAGTTCTTTTTCTAAAACATAGAAAAATAATGCAGATGTTGTTTTTTAACCTCACAGACAAAAAAGAAAAATGTCTAACAAACTTTATATGATACTAACCTTTTCTAGCATGTTTTACACCAATGTCATCGATAAAGTCGAAGGCAACAGAAAGTTCTCGATCTCTAATCTAACACAGAAACGTAGAGAAGACGTTGAGAAACAAATATTATTTCAAAGGAAATATTTCATGCATAAACACGTAAAAGCACCAAGGTCAGTAGTGTGACTCCTTTATGAATATTCTTCTTTCCCAAAAATACATTACAGATGTTGGTAGGGTGGTTCACAGATGTGCGTGGGAGAGATCAGAATATAAAAACAATAAAACTGAACACCTTCAGGAGGGATTGAAACACCCTGAGGACTTGAATAATGTTCTCTGGAGCTTTATCCTTCACACCCCATTCTTCTGTCTGCATGGGAAAAGTCAAATGTAGAGTCATTCAACCTCATAATACCAATGCTTGTACGACACAACTGCCTAGACCAAAACAATCTATATTTATACGTGTAATATGACGAGGTGTACAAAGACTGATCAAGGTTCAATCGCAGTACTCAGGCTTATGCGGCAAATTCATCAAGAGCTTTCAGCATAAGTTAGATTGTTATGTGTTGTATCCAATGGTCACCGAAGGCATGAAAAATTTAGCACACATAAGTACATAATTGTTGACCAATCATCAAGTGATTGCTATACTCAAAATAATATGAGCAGGACTATAGTCTGTCTTTATTCCATCGACCATCAAAGACAGACATTCAGTGAGCTGATGGAATTTGCAAATTAAAAAATATAAAACATTGCTTCTTGTCCAGAAGTAAATAGCATAATGTCATCGACGGGCCATTACCAAAACTAACAGATCGAAGACCTTATCCACTTCGTCTTTGTCGCGTTCATTGAGGGTTTCTGGGTCAATTCTCAACATTTTATCCCAATTAAGAGCTGCAGGCATCTTGGCCATGATGTGTTTTTAAAAGACTTAGCTAAATAGGAACTGATATAACATCGATGTGGCACTTAAATTTACGGTTATAGAATAGAGACGCATTGGCTGCTAGGTTACGGCTGACAACAACAGTTAGCTAATGAAGCTACTCCAGAAGAAAACTACAAAAAAATCGGTAAAGTTCCCGGAAACTTAACTAAACCGTAGCGAGACGGTGAGTATAAAGTTATTAAAGTGTATCGTCGCAGTTTTGCAACTCGGTACTGTCCATATTCACGTCAGTTAGTCCACAAAAAGCATCAAATCTAGCTAGGTTCAACTTGCGCGGTCACCTCTGCACCGGAAGTTATAGTGGGTATTCGCCAAAGCTACTTAGCACATATGGAACGCCGCTTGATGAACTGTGTATTCCGTCTATGTTTTGTCAGCTAAAGTGTGTTTTATGAGCTCAACTGCCAGCCCTGTTATAGACACGGTGAGAAAGACCTAAGCTACTTCTCTTCCCATCTTATCCAGCCTAAACACAGGCGACAAGGTAGTTAGCTGTAGCCGCTAATTTAGCTTCATCGTTAGCTAATGTTATGTTGCAGCTACGGTGGCTCTGAAATTGTCATTACATGCTGTTTTTGGGCTTTTTGTGCCATTATGTAACCATTATTGATTGGTCACAATGCCGACTGAATTTCATTTATCAAACACCTGGTGTTCGATTTCTCGTAGCTAATTCTCTCAAGTAATATTAGCTGGCCACGACAGCGCGTTGGAGTACGCCCTCCTTTGCTTTTGCTGCCAGCTGTAACTATTCGTTTTTTCAACAAATAAGCACAAATTTACTCACTTGTACGTTTATTCGTTCTATAATTTAGCTGTTATATTTCCAGTTACATCTGGCTCTGTAGCTTTATCTACAAACCAGGGAGGCACACTCTAAGAAGTAATGCTTGCATGCCATTTAATTTACTGGGTGCTGTGATGAGGAATCGGGCTAAGAAGACTTGTTTACATACACCGTACATCACAAAGTTGCACTATAAGTGAAAATATGTGTCCAATGATGAAATAAGTTTGAACTCATAAGTGTCTATTTCACAAATCGTCATGCCATCAAAATTGTAATAATACTAATTCTTTTGTTGTCCTGCACAGTGATCAATGAAGGCTTTGGTCAGCAATGGCTGTTGTGTCATGGAAGGAGATTTTACTTTTGAGTGGACTGGTGGTGGGGTGTTACTGGAACAGCTTGTCATGCGGGTTTGTGTTTGATGATGTCTCAGCAATCCTTGACAACAAGGATCTGCGCCCATCAACCCCAATCCACAACCTTTTTCTCAATGATTTCTGGGGAACACCCATGGCTGAGGTAAGCTTTAAGAAGACTCAAACTCAATACGGGATTATGTAATTTCTCTTTAGAATTTTATATTGTGGATCAAATTTGTCTCATTGTCATTTGTTGTTACTCAAAGTAATTTAGAAAGAAATAAACCTTGAACATGTGTCCCACTACAGGAACGGAGTCATAAATCTTACAGACCCCTGACAGTACTCACCTTTCGACTGAACTACCTCTTCAGTGAACTCAGCGCAGCTTCCTACCACCTGCTCAATGTCATTTTACATGCTGTCGTATGTGTGCTTTTCCTGCGAGTGTGCCGATTGTTCCTGGACAAGACTTCCAGCTTAGTGGCAGCATTACTGTTTGCTGTGCATCCCATTCACACTGAAGCTGTAAGTGTACAATTGCTTTGTGAGCAAATGTTAAAAAATGTGTTTTATTAAATTTAATTTGGCCTAATTGAGAATTATGTTCACGTACAAGTCCATGGAAAAAGTGTAAATTAGTGAGAGAAGTAACTGGAAATACTCCTAATTTATCTTTCACTTTCTAAATTAAAGTAATCTCATCAAGTTATGCTCCACCGGATGGGACAGACCCACTGGGAATTATAGGCAAATGATTGGCATTGGTTAGGTGGTTCTTGAGTCCCATCTGCAATCCAACTCTTGACTTCCTCAACATTCTCATGTGCTATTTTAACCATTTTCATGAGCATTTGTTAGGCAAAGTTTTAGGAAAAATGAGATAGAATACAAGGTCACTTTTTAACTTTTTTTTAAACTTTAGGAACATCTGTCTGGGTTTGTATAACTAAGCATTCCACTTGGCTATCATGGACGACCTGTCATGGATGGTTCACAAATCTGTTGCGGGGATAACACAGATACACAACCGTTCTAGTTTAAATAAACACTTCTGGCCAATTTAGAATTGCCAGTTAAACTTACATATGCTTGTCTTTGGTACAGAGTTTCAAAACTTTGGACAGTGGGATCCAGCCAGGGTCTCTGGAGAGAGCTCATACAAGCATGCAATTTCCCAGAGGAACCCACCCGAGGGATTAATAAAGTTCTATCTTATCTTATCTTATCTTATGTGCTAACACTGAACTGGAAGCTAGGTCCTTCTTGCTATGAGGTAACATAGCCAGCTAAGCTGCCCTAGCTAAGCACTGGGTTTTCCACAGAAATGATAACCACTGGATGTCTCACTTGATCTCTAGTACCGCAAACCAAATAAGCAGTAATGTTAGCCACACCTTCACTCTTCCTTTAAAACAAGAAAGGTGGCTTTGTGAAATACGTTGAGTAGCCCTGTAATATTCCAACTTAAGCTGAGCAATTCACTTGATAGTGCTGTAGAAGTATTTTCACTGCACTGTAAATGTGGCTGAATTAAAAGAATTCTGCATAGAAGAATGGGCCAAAATTCCTTTAGATGGAAAAAAACCAGTTCTTGCAAACAGTTGCTACAATGGTGGTACAACAAATTATTCGGTTTTGGGGGGGGATTTTTTTTTCCACATAGAGACAGATAGGTTTAGATAAATTTTTCCCTTAATAAATGAGTTTGTAATTTAATAGTGGAATGTTGTTTTATTTAGGTCATCTAATACAAATATGAATTAAGTCAAAAGCATTAAAAGAAATTAGGTAGGGGTCAGAGATCATTTGAAGTTTGAAATCTACATGTGCAATAAGGTGTTAAAGAGACTTCAATATAGAAAGACTTTGTGTCTTTACGGAGCGTTGTAGGACATTAAGAGTAATCAGAAACTTAGCTTTGCACCAACATGTCCACTGTGGCATACAATCTGAATGCATTTCAGTGATTGTTAGAATTGCGTTAGAGTGAACCAGACAATAAACAGCAATTGAATTGTCACATCTTGCCTGTTATGGCTTGCTCAAAAAGGAACTCCACCTTATTCAAGTAAACCCTTTTGTTCATGCTCATGACATTAACTTACTTGTGCTACACGTTACATTAAACCTCTGTTTTTACTGTTGTCATTTAAGGCTGCATTAACATTCTTTAAATGCTTTAAAATGTTTGCTTCCATTTTTTTTCCTTCTTGAAATATAAAGATAGTTATTATAGCTTATCATGGATGTTGTCTGTAACACAAAGCTTATTGAACTTAATAGGAAATCAAAACCCTTTAGCTTATTGTTTATTTGAACTTTATCTCATTCTACTGTCTGAAAAGCCTCTTCCCCAATTAGGACTTGTATTTCATCCTTTTGAACATAGCTGAACTGATGACCAGACAGGCCTTGACCAGAGTAAAAAAACAAAGGAAACATTCTGCTTCTTGGGTGTGGAGTGCTACTGTTACACAGCATGCATCACTGTTCCTATCTTCCTCATCATGTTCTCTAATCTATGCACAGTCTTTCAGACTTCTTGAATGGAAACAATTTGCCTCACAAATGAGCCTTTAGTGTTAGTCCAGCAAATGCCCTTCATGTTATCACCGTCTGGAATCTCTCACTGAACGGATCATTTGTTTTTTGAATTATGCTTCAAGCACTGAAGGTCCCTACATTATAAGCTTATACAAAGAGTGCCTGTGTGTCCCATGTCTTTTTCAGTAGGGTTTTTTTTTTTTGGGGGGGGTGGTGATATATCTTTTTGAATGAAGACTTCAGTTTTTTTTTGTTTTTTTTTTTATATCTTCAAACATCTTTAGATACAAATGACACTAAATAATTTGTATCTAATTTGTAACTCCTTACATCTGGATGGATGGAGTTGCCAACTCTGTATAGATGGAAAGTTAAATTTGTAGTTTGAATATTTTCAGGAAATTGAGCCAACTGTAATCAGTCTTTCTAAGATTCTGTTGAAGTAACATTGCACTGATCAGACATTTTAGGGGGCTCTTGAATACTGCCAGCATTTTTCCCTTCTCCCACCAGTTGACAAATAGGTCAGTCAGAGCACAGTGCCTGTGCTTGTTTTGAATCTTCATGGCAAGCCCTATTTATTGGAAGCTGCAGCCCTCTCATGATGCCAGTTGAATTCTTAAAGTGTAAACAATCCCCTCTTCTTTTAGTGAGTGCTTTGTAGAACTATTTGTGGGACCTTTATGTTCTTAGAGTATGTCTCTTTCCAAGAACTTAATAATGATATTTCTTCCGCATGAGGGCAGTCATCATGTACTTAAATGACAGACGTTGCTGTCAGAGAGACTATGTTACATATAATTGCTTCCCCATCAGTTGATTTGGGTTGAACAGAACTTTTTATTTTTATTTTTAGAGCCTTAGACCATGAGCTCTGGTTCGTGCCAGTCGAAGACACATGTGTAATGTTCTCAGAGTTATTAGATATGTTGTCTGAGACATGGAGGTCATGTGGTGGTGGCTTCAGAGTCGAGGCAAAGTAGCATGGGTATAGAATAGCATCTCCTAATAGGAAAAGTAAACTTTTCTGTATTATTTTACAAACTTATTTCAGAAATTTTTATCTACATTTCAACTTGAATTACCAAACAATGAACATTTAAGTATATTTTAAGAAATCATTTTTCCAAATCTTTATGGTTGGGTCGCTTGTGTTGATCGACTGTTATCATCAGGTCACTGGTGTGGTTGGCAGAGCTGAACTTCTTTCATCAATCTTTCTTCTGGCTGCTTTCCTGGCGTATACAAAGTCAACTGGACCAGACCATTCCATTGGTA